TTCTCTGTGTCGTGTGTTTAGTTCAGTGATCCATCCCTTTAGCAAGTTTCCGAAGAAGTCTGTACTATATTTTTAGTGTTTACAGATGGTGTGTTTCTCTGTAGTGTACGGGTGTTTTGAATGTTGTTTTGGGAATATTTGCCTCGGGGGCAGTTTGTATGTCTGCGTACCACTGGTTACGGTGGTGGTCTATGGTGTGTGTGCGTTGCCCCTCGAGATCTGGAGTATGTGGTCATAGCTTCCGTTTCGCAAGTGGATAGAATGTCACGGGGACGGCTTATTGTCATTTGTCTATACGCTGCAGTTCGTTGTCGACATGCCAGATTTAGGAAGAAGTGTTGAAATTACAGGTAACATAATTTGGTATATAGGATACATAATAACAATGATATCAGATATAAACCATATATCACTTTTTCTCTAGGCATTAATCAAATATTTTTGTGATGAGCATAACCTTATTGGTCAGTGGGGATCACCATTACTTTTGCTATATGCTCCAGATATTGCAAATCTACAAGGATATAAGTTTCTAATTTTGCAATAAGTGATTTGATCCTCTTGTTTATAAGCTGGTACTTCTTCTGACCCAAGGGATGATTCCTGCCAGCTGAATGGTGCTCGCAATTCATGGCTAATTTGTGCTGCTCCTCTTGGTATTTTGCAGCGAGCAGCGGCAGCTGAGGATAGTCCAACAGCATCCTGGCAAACCCATTGTGCCATCCTTCCAATGCATTATTTGTTCGGGGCATATCATCCTTCACTTGTTGATACATGTTTCAAGTCTGATAGGGAAATTTTCCGGGAATTTCCATGTCACCATGAATCTGCTGGCCAACATAGGATTTTTGGAAACATTTTGCGAACTCCAGAAGCCGGCAAGGAGTATCCTCATGTAATGGTGGACGTCGTCCAGCGGAACAAATGCCAGAATCAGTAACCTCCTGACCCGGATGGTGAAGGCAGCATCATCCCTATACCATGCTGCGAGAACAAGATTCTGGATGCGTCTCCAGACAGGCTGGCCCAGATGGAAATAGCATCCAGCAACCTCTGCACTCGGAGAATGGAAGGCGTTCATTGCTGCCTTTTCAAAATCTGTCATCATTGTCCCTGGATTGCATAATAAGCCAGGGTGAATAAGCTGTAACACCTCGTACAACATTTTATCATATATATATATCTTCAGTATTTCCTGGCGACAATACACAGACACACGGATATGTTATATCACTAAAGTATGCATGGAGTATGTACTGCTGCTTGTAGCCGACAGGGGCCACATTAAACATTCCATCACCAAACCAATGTCGAGACTCGGCAAGAAATTTCAAATCAGAGTCTGCTGCGAAGATTATTATCCCATCATCTTCATAACGGAGGAAGGTCTCTCTGCTTAACGTTGTCCGAAATGGCTGAAGATCAGACACACCTGCCTGTTGCTGCACTCGCCTCAACATCCTTTTGACGGCGGTTACCGTTGGTATTAAATGGGCAGCACGTTCCTTCATCCTCAGGGACAGCAGGATGTCTGTGGATAGGGTTTTGCCACTACTATTTTCCCATTAACGGTGTGAACCCTGGCACCACAGGTTCTGTCTTCGCATCTCCACACCACCTTGTCGTGATAGTCCCTTATCATCGTAAAGAGATGCTGGCCAACGCTCAGTATTACAGTCGCCCGGTATGACGGGATAATGCAACAGGCCTTGGGGACGTTGACTAGGCAAGGTGGAGGAGGATAATTGTCACTCAACCCTTCTTACGATGAAACATTTCTTCCAGGTCATAGTGTCTGCACGACCGTGCACCCCATATATACATGTACATATATATATGTACATATGTATATATATATGTGTGTGTGTGTGTGTGTATGTAGTTTATTGCTCCGCTGGGCACGTCTTCTTTATATACAGGAAACGTGGTCAGATATTTATTTTCTGGAGAATTCTGGAAAATCATTGGTAGTACAGTCCAGTAGTCCCTTTTATAGACTTTACTGCAGCATTTGATTTAGACCACAGAAACTCCCTCTGGACGATCATGGAAAGAGACGGAATCCCACCAAAGTTTAATCCGCGGCTTCTATCAGAAGGTCCGAGGTTAGAATCTGACGTCACGAGACGGAATTCTTCAATATTAAAACGTGTGTGCGTCAGGGATGTACTCTTTCCCTACTTGTTTATGGGTGACAACATTTCCATCACCGATCTGGATTATAATGACGATATGGCTCTGCTAGCCACTTCAGTTGAGGAAATGCAGCGTATAATAGATGCAGTGAAAAAGTCTGCTAGATCTATAGGCCTTGTTATCAGCACACCTAGAACAAACCCGATCTCCACCAGAATAAAATACTTAAGGTCTACAGTCTATCAGTACGTCCCATCTTATCCTGACCTCTCTAGATTGCAGACATCAGCCGTCTCGATGCCATAGACACTAGCTGTCTGCGGGTTATCTTTCAAATTCCTACCAAGGTCGTGTCACAAACCAAGAGGCGAGAAGGAGATGCCATCAGGATACACGAATCAGTAACACAATAAGGCTACGCAGACTGCAATGGTTGGGTCATGTCCTGGGGAGACCCGCTACAGAGCTTTCTAAACGGGCCCCTCTTTCATCTCCGGTCCAGGGTTGGAAGAAGAGGCCAGGGGGGAAATGAAGACTTGGTTAGATGCAATCAAACATGATAATCAAGTGGCTAGGGTTGATCCAGGCCTTTACTAGTGATAGGGCAGCCTTGAAAAAAAATAATCATAGATGGAGCCGCCTGATCCAAATCGGACGTATCACGTCTTCTGCTCCCATACCTACCTAGTACCAGGATGGAGAGATCGATTTCCTGTGTCATTCTTTCTATAAAGTGGGTTACCCTCGCCATGTTCTCGACGTCGCAAAATCCAGGGTGCGGCTCCTCTCCTAAAGATTCCTAACCTGCTCTACACTAAGGAGATCTATTCTCTCCATCGCCCATTTCACTCTCTCAACTGCAGGCTCATCTTTTGCTAGGTAAACACTCTCCGTCATAAACACATGCACACACACACTTCATTTTTTCGTTCTCTGTGTCTGCCCGTCGTTCTCTCTCTCTCTCTCTCTCTCTCTCTCTCTCTCTCTCTCTCTCTCTCTCTCTCTCTCTCTCTCTCTCTCTCTCTCTCTCTCTCTCTCTCTCTTACTCTCTCTTGGTGAAGTACTTGCAACTAGATATGTAATTTAACGATTGACATAAGAAAGCGATAATTTTAACGAACATATTTTTTTTCATATTTGCCGTAGATTACATATTTAGACGTATTTTTTTGGGAAATCTTAAAATAAGAAAGTAAAAACAATAGAAGTGCGATCTAGTGGTGTTTTTCTTCGTTTTTGAAACGATCTTTAACTTCATTTTACTCTAACACTGTGATTTTTATTATAATTACATTAACTATATACCAAAACTAAAATATTATGTTACTAGATCTATAGGCCTTGTTATCAGCACACCTAAAACAAACCCGATCTCCACCAGAATAAAATACTAAAGGTCTACAGTCTATCACTACTTCCCGTCTCATAAGTCTTTACTTCTTTCAGTATTAATTTGCAATGATATGTTTGTTTGATTTGATGAATCCAATGGAACGAGTCCGATGACACCACAAATACAAGCGGCGCACACAGCTAACATGTTCCGGCGGAGGTAAACCATGAACGAAAAAGTGTCGTTACTTTCCTTTTTTTCTTCTTCTCTTTTGGGTAAGGAGGCCTGGCACATCTCTGGATTTTCTAGTTCCCTGCCTTTAGTTGTGTTGCCATTGTATAATTGCCTCTATATTTTTCTCGGTCTGAAGCGAAACGAAATATGAATTGATATAACGTTTTAGGAATAATGCTTACTCGATGTCGTATATTCCAAAATATAGTCACCAAATGAGACCGAATAGATTTGCCACCAATATACTTATGAGCCGATCATGCATATGATGGGCAGTAATGTAAAACGAAGCCGAACACATGTGATTTATAAATGTGCAAGAGAGGAAAGGTTTGTACAATTGCATTTTCAACTCACAGCAACTTTGGTATTGGGGAACACCTGCATGCTCGTGGTTATTTCGAATGTCGCTCATCGCTTTACAAACATTTATAATCAATAATTTTCTTTAAAAGCTTTACACTTTTCGAGGGAATTTTTATTTAGTTAAGTAAATTATTCTAGAACTAAACTATAGCCTACATTTAGGTTGAGGAATATACATAAATAAACATACATCAGTGAAAATAAGAACTGTAAAATTACGACGATCTTCCTCGTTCCACCGAACAATGAGCAGCCTGGTTTCACACGTTTCTAGGCTAAAAACTATCATAATAATCAGTTAAAGACACCATTTTGATACAAGAAGGAAATTAATTAGAACTTATTATAGTCTTTTTTCAGATATATTTATTTATATATTTTGCTTAAGGCTAATACATAGTAAATATGATAAAAATCTGACTTTCCAAATATAAAGATGCGTGATGTGCCAGATCAGCATTTCTATAACCACAAATTAGTAATACCAGTGAACAGTGTGGTATGCTACTATTACTAGACTTTATTGATGTAACTTATACAGTATAATGAAATAAATACAAAGTAATTTATGAATTTTAAGTGTTAAAAGTTTTCAGTTGTGTATTTTTAAAGATATATTACGGGAGTCACTTTATATATAATTCTAATGCTGAAAGATATTTTATTTCATTTTGTTTGTGCTCTGGATCTTTAACATTTCCATTTGTACTGCATATTTGGATAAAGAATGCATTATTAAGTTGGGGACAAGGTAGCTAATTGTATTATCTAGTTAGGGACGGGGTAACTACATGGTTTTCATTTTCCTGCGCCTGTTTTAAAAGAAATTTATCCGAATATATTGCTTATGCTTTGTCCTTATAAAACACTCAAAATATAAGAATAGAGATATTTCCATTTTCTATGCTCCCTCTCACCTAGATGTCGGAAGCTCGGAGGATAAGCGTCGTAAACATTTGATGTTTACTTTTCAGGGAGACGGAGGCTTTCGTTTCGTTTAGTCTAAAACCCCATAAAAGAAGAAAGAAGTAGTTTGTTTCGTTTGAACCGCCAGAGAGCAGACATCTATCCCGGTAATCGTAAACTGAAGTGAAGTGTTGGTAAATGTTTATAAGAGGACCGCACCCGTCGGAGACCAAGTCCCGTCGGAGACCAAGAACTACAGCCAACAATCTTGGGGGATCCCGTGGGGAAGCGGGGGTTGGGGGGGGTGAATAGCGAGGAGATCGCTAATAAACGGCAATAATAAAGTTCCATGAAGTGGAAAATAATAAAAACCCAACCCAACCCAACCCAACCCAACCCAACCCAACCCAACCCAACCCAACCCAACCCAACCCAACCCAACCCAACCCAACCCAACCCAACCCAACCCAACCCAACCCAACCCAACCCAACCCAACCCAACCCAACCCAACCCAACCCGATCGCCGTATTTCTCACTAGTTTTACTGTCATCATTTTACATACCTTAGTGTATATCCGTTATATCCATTTGGCAGTCTGCCCCACACTTTGCACACTCGGTAGTATTTAGTATAAGGCCATGTTCTTTGCAAATGTGAATCACTTCCTCAGTTTCACCTGATTTTTTTTAGAAAAAACACACCAAATCCACTGTCACAGTCTTGACACCGGTTAGTCATACTTGAAACTGACCGGCTGTCAAAGTGGCCATCCTTAGTTTACGAGAAGTATGAAAAGTTAAAAGTTTTCAGTTGTGTATTTTTTAAAATATATATTATATATACTAGGTATGTAATTCTAATGCTAAAAGATATTTTGTTTGATTTTTATGTGTTCTGGATCTCCAACATTTCTGTTTGTAATGTATATTTGGATACAAATGTATGTAGCCCTAATTATTTTGAAGTTAGGGACAAGGTAACTAAATGTATTATCAAGTTAGGGATATGGTACGTAAATGTTTTTCAGAAACCTGCACCGGCTTTCAAAATTTATTTTGGCTTCAAATCAGCTTAAAGTTTTCTCTCTGATGGAAAGTTTGCAAACTGAAGTAAAACCCTGCATTTTTACTACTTCAGCAAAGAAAAACAAAATTCCATCATGTATATTTTAGCAATGGAGCTTGGATGTGCTACTTATTTGACAGAAAATTGCCAGGAGGTCTCTCTTATCCAGCCGTAAGATATGTAGCTAATGGATGTTTGTTGGCCCTTGCTTGAGTGCTGGCATATTTTTTTGGATCAGCAGATCTCTAGAGTATTATTCTGTTACTTACATGTTCCCATTTTATATTACTTACAGTTATGAAGCAGCATAAAATTCTTATCATCTGCTGGATATTGTAGAATTTGACTACTGCTTATGCATTAGTAATAAACTGAAGCCCTGCTGATTTGCCACAAGGATGGAGCCAACTCTCTTACATCCCAACATGCCTGCAGATCTTATCCCCAACAGAGAACTGAACAACACTTCATCCTCTGTCATGGTACCCGAGGATGGGTATTTGCCACCAGTACCTCTGACAGACATGAAGAGAATACAAATTCTAGAAAAGATGAGTGAGAATTGTGAATCTTTTCTGCCTCATCAAGAGGGATATTTAAGAGTCCTTGACACTTATGAGAAGGTCCTTGAATTTATCTTAGCGGAAGAAAAATCTACAGGAATGCATTTCATAGGTCACAGGAAGGAAGGGATTTTTGACAGACTAGGTAAGAAGATGGGAAGAAAATCTTCATATGATGTATGAAGATTTTTATAGCTCTGTATCATTCCACTTTGTTGTATCAATATTTTTTATTGCATTACAGCTCTGTGAAATTAGATATGTGGTAATCCAGTTTGTTTTCCCTCATTTATAGCAAGAAGGTTTTACTTCATTCTTAGTCACTGGGCAATACAAATTATTAATATAAATCTTTCTTCTACTAAATAGCTATATGCCATGTTGTAGTTGATACTCAGAATGTTTATTTCAGGGAAAGATTTAAAGGCTTTTATAGGAGAAGGACGGAAGCATATAAGATACTGTGTCACTGGTGGAACAAAAGGAAGAGGTCATGATCCAATTGCTGTGGAATATACTGGTGTCCCATTTATTGAAGCAGGAACATATGTTATGGAGTGTCATATGGGCAATGACAGTGGATTGTGGATCAAAAAGCGATATGCAAAAAGAAGGGATATGTTAGAAGTAAGTATTGGCAAATGTTTTACCTTCAAATAGATTTTATTTTAGATATGGTTTCTTATTTTGTAGTATTAGGGTTTATGGGTAAATGAATGGTGTCAGTGTTTAAGAACTTTTTTCAATTTTACTAAATTCATTTTGAATCTTATTAGAAAATCTAGAATAAAAAAAAGGATTTTGTGTGCTTTTCTTATAACAAATCAATTTTTACATTTATTACCATAGAAAGAAAATAGTCAATGTGTTGTGAAGAGACGATCCAGGACACTAGAATCAAAGAAGACAGGCTGTCCAGCTAAGGTCCACATAAAAAGGATTCTAAGACTGCCAGAATTTAAGGTTTGTGAAAGTAAAGATTTGTAGTATGACAATCCTACTCCTCATTATCATCATTAAACTTATTAATTTTGCATATTATATTGCAGTTTTGAATTGTGGTGCTGAGCAGTATTACTTAATGATTTGCTGTGACAAAGCAATTTTTTCTTTGTATGGCTGATGAAACAGTAGCCTTACTAAAGCTTATTATTGTCACCATATGTAATATAGTAATGGTGGTTGTCAAAAGGCACTCATTTGTAGTTAAAGATTTTATGGGTGTGAAATGTAACTGCAAGAGATGCATGTCTTGTTATCTCAAAGACCCTGATTGTAAGTCAAAGTTCCAGTGACAGTTTACAGGGTCATATGTGGAAAAATCAGCAGTCATGCATTGAATCTGCTCTCAGTATAGTTATTTATCTACTTATTTATTTGTTTATATAACTGTTTACTTATTTATTTATATTTCATTTATTATATAAGTAAATGAATAAATAAATGAATAAATAAATAAATAGAGAAATGGATGAACAAACAAATAGATAAGTAAATAGATAGATAATTAGATAGATAGATAGATAAATAGATAAATAGATAAATAGATAGATAGATAGATAGATAGATAGATAGATAGATAGATAGATAGATAGATAGATAGATAGATAGATAGATAGATAGATAGATAGATAGATAGAAAAAACTGTATTTATGTTGACAATTGTAGAAAAGGTATGAATGAGAATGAATATCTTTAGAGCAAATATGTATCAGACATGAGCTGACGAAACACCTGACAACTGTGACCTCCCACTCATTACTCATATGACTGCAGCTGCAACCTTGGATTTTTTGAAGCTGCCTGATGCTGCTTTTACATTTTTCTCTGATATGATGTATGCAGCTTCCATAATCTTTCTTTTCTATTTGTTCAGTCCTCCATGGGCTACATCTGCATCCTTCCAGTTCTGTAGATGCCAAGCTTCATCTACAGGCACTACCATGGTGATGGAAACCCATAAGATGAGTGGGAAGTCGCAGTTGTCAGGTGTTTCGTTAGCTCTTGTCTGATATATATATGCTCTGTAGCTTCTCTGACAAAGATATAATCAAAACCAGTCTAATGCATCTCTTGTATTGTGAAGATATTCATTCTCATTCAAACCTGTATGTATGCATGTATGTGTGTGTGTTTTACATATATAATATTCTGAAACATTCATTTTTTCAGATAAAGAAAAACACTGTAGCAGCAAAGGAAAAGAATCGCTCAAAGATCGTGAAAGCCCTGAAGAGTGAGTTGGAAAATGTGCACTTTGAACAGGAGTACTACGTTCTCATGCCAGGTTTGGAGTGCCATCAGTACCACGCTGCTGATGTAGTTGTAAGTTGTAGTTGTATTGGACTGCATTGTATTTGGTGTTCTTAATGCTTTTTTTTAACCTGCTGTGGACACTGTTGAGTATATTTGAAATATTTATTATTCATGTTTTGTTTTAAAATTTGTCAATTGAATATATAATCACAACTCTATGAATAGTCAGATGACTATGTCTTTACACATAGAGGGATACACAAGTACTTAGTCATAATGGAGTCAATTTCTTAGGTTTTTTAAAAGATTCTTTTTTATTGTCATATTAACAACATTGTGATGATTATGATGTCAATATTAATAGTATTGGTACTGATTTTAATAGCATTAGAAAAAGGGAAATTCAATGTCTGGGAACAACCGATTAGATCAGTTTGGGCTAGTATTTGGCTCCTTGGTGGCAGAGCACTTGTGGAGCCATCTGTGCGTAACAAAGTTTACATTGGACAATATACCTGCATAAAAATGGTTAAAGCCTTTATTTAATATTTATTTATTGTTGTACTTGGCATTCTTATCATTTGGTAGGCTGGAGTGATGGTAAGCAAAACAAAGGATGGAGAATTACACTTGAACCAAATTAGAAACTATCTTGAAAACAGGACATACTTGTCTTCAGTTGCCCCGAATGAGAAGAAAAGCATCAGAACTGCTGCAAAGACTTTCAGTGTTGAAGGTTTTTACTTTTTATTTGTGTCATGAGTTTATACCTTTGGATTGATAAATGCAGTGATAATGCAGATAAGTCATAAAATTATTTTCTTTCATAATTCTTTGATTTTATTCTTGACAGGATCGGTTATGTACTATATTGGTGAAGATGGCAATGAAAAACAGGTTGTATTGTACACACCTGTAGAGAAACAGAAAGCTTTTGATGAATTTCATGTATTACACAAGTCTGGAGAGCACTTAGGTATGTGTTTGTGATTTTATATAGATGTCAGACAATTATCCATGTATTTTAAAGAAAAATGCCACATATAGTATTATGAAATTAAATGTTTAAAAAGAAAATTAAGTTTACTCTTTTACTGAATTGTTTTTAAAATAATTTATGTAGCTCTTCACAAGTATATTGCTTTCAGACTGTACACAAACACTGCTGATGATAAAACAGAAATATTACTGGATGAGTTTGTCTGAGGATGTTGTTACAATGGTAAGTAACATAATTGATAAAAGGCTTTATTACAGTGAAATGATTTAAACATATAAAATTTACTACTTTAGAAAAAACAACAACTAAAAATGCAAAAAAAAAAATGTTCTGACTTTTAACACTTGGAACAAAATTTCTTGTTATAATAGTCCATATGAGTCATAATGAAGTAAATTTCCACAAATATTTTTCTCAGTAATAACTTTCAGGAAATGATGTATCACTTTTTTTCAGATGCAGAGATGTCATGTGTGTGAACTTAAGAAGGCCAGTTCTACTAATCATAGACATATTCCCATAAAGAAATACAAGGTGTGTTTAAGTACCTTTGTAGTACTGAATCTACATCACCCACTCAAATATGATATGAATTTATTTCCAGATTGTGAAGAATTAATTATCATAATTTGCCACATAATTTTTTCTCATATCTCATGTTAGGTTTGTGCCTTCTTTCCTGTCTGAGTCTTTAATAATTGTTTTTTCATAGTGAGAATATTACTTGATGCCTAATCTAAATCTTGAGAGTTTTTAACCCAATGCCACCAGAAAAATGCTGTGTTCATTAAATTTTTTTTTTGTAAAATGTCTCTGCACGTAGATAGCTCTGCTAGTGCTTAGTCTCAAAGGAGTCAATTAGTAAAGCTTATGACCTTACCTGATTTCAGCTTTCCTTGAATTAGCAGGATTTTTTTTTTTCTTTTAAATAGTACCATGAATATTGATGATATTATTTTTATTATTATAGACATTATAATTACTATAATATCATAGACATTAGTAACAATAATATAATGTAAAATATTTTTGAATATCAAGCAAAAGTGTAAAAAGGCAAGACAGGCAGTACTTGTAATTGGCTCATTGGTGACTTAGTACCTGTAGTCCTTATTAATTGTATAAAAACAATTAATAAAGTAAACCTACAGTAGCCATGGCATGTACGTACATGCAATGCTTGTTGGCTTTGGGTTAATAATGTTACTGCATAGTGTGTTCTGTATGTGACACATCATTCATATTTTACTGCAGAGGCATTTTATCTTTTTCTTGACTTAGGTCTGTTACAGCTAGTATTACTATTGCTGTACAAGTTTTGAGCTCTTGTACAAGGATTAAGGATGATTATGCTTAAGAATAAAAATTATACAGGTAATTTAATCCTGAACAGAAAGCCAGCCACAGCAGGGAGTCAACCAGGGGAAAGCACAGAAAACATGCATTAGCAAGAAGTGCTGTGCAAGAACAATACAGAATGAGGGTCAAGGTTGAGATACCCAGCACAGAGGAAGACAGTAAGAATTGTTTTCAGCATGACCTGATTCCAGTGCAAAAGCAGCCTTTTTATGAATCAGAGGACAAAAAACACCTGAATCTTAGAGCTAAGCAGCATGGTTCTTTGCAAACTTTATATACATTCCAAGAGGCTCTTCACTACATTAGAGAAGAAGAGAAAGCCACTGGCATGCATTATATTGGTCATCGAAAGGAAGGAGTCTTCGATAAAGATGGTAAGAAGAGTTGTCCCTGTGCCTGAAGTCATCATTTGTGGACATACTTCCTATTCTTATGCATGTATTATATACAGTAGTTTTTGTCATCTTCATCATTGTATTTTCATAGGTCATGACCTAAAGGCATTTGTGAGAGAGGGAAGAAAACACATCCGGTACTGCATCACTTTAGGTACAAAGGGACGGGGATATGATCCTGTCCCTGTAGAATACTCAGGTGTTCCCTTCATTGAGGCTGGTACTTATGTCATGGAGTGCCACCTAGGAATGGATACTGGAATTTGGAACAAGAGGAGATATGCTGCTCGAAGGGATAAGATAGAGGTAATGAGTCCTGTTTAAGTAGACCCATAATTTATACAGACTTATGATTGCTTCTGAATGGAAGTTGGAAGTATGAATGAATGAATGAATGTATGGTTAGTAAGATAAAGCCTTAAGAATCCATGTTCCACTGGAGAGTTGGACAGTAGATATTTTGCAAATTATAATTTACTCATATGAGGATGATAAGTATTTTATTGTTTGGAATATACATTATATACTTTTATGATCTTGGACATACATAACCATTTGATACACAACACTTAGCTACACCATTATCAGGTTTGCATTGAACATTTTTGATGCATCTCAGGATTCTTATGAAAGTTAGTTTGGTAACGTTTAGCCAGTAGTATTCAGATTTTTTCTCACAGGAAGAAGAAATTGCTATTATAAAAAGAAGAAATAGAATGTACGACACTAAGAAAATGGGGTGTCCTGCTAAGGTACACATTAAGAGAATTCTGAGATTGCCAGATTTTAAGGCAAGTATGGTATATAATGTACACTATAGAGGATAGTTCTTATATATTCTTTGACTATACTGCTATACTCTGATCATTCCATATTTGTTAAATAGTACCCACTGGTTGAAAACTCACAAATAATTGATTTTTAGATTTGGCATAACACACCAGCTGAGAGAGAAAAAAATCGCAAGAAGATCATAAGTGCTGTGAGAGGAGACATAGAGGCAGTCAATTTTGAGACAGAGTATTATGTTCTTATGCCAGACCTTGAATGCCACAAGTTCCATACTGTTGATGTTGTGGTCAGTATTATTGTACTTTGTTATAAGTATGTTCCTTCCCTGTCCTTGGTGATTGTAAGCACTATTAATGTCTATTATATTAATTGATATATAAAAAAAGTGATTTTGAAGTACACAAGATATAAAGTAAATATATTTTAAAGTGTTACTCTACTGGAAGATCCTTTAATGTATGGCCATTATATGTGTTTTGCCAAAGATATCATCCAAGAACAATAATCATATGGTGATAATCCTAAGTCCTTATTTTGTTATAATGTATTTAATTTGCCAAGGAAGGTTGTATAGGTCTATGTTAGTGATCTTATTTAAAGACTTCTGCAAAGGAATAGTGAGAGTAATCATTTCTAAAAGCACAATTTCAAGGAAGAAGTTAGGCTTTCTTGGTATATGCTAGCTAGTTTAGACAACCCACAAGTAATAGAAATGTCTTTCTGAACTTGGTCATCATCATCATCATCATCATCATCATCATCATCATCATCATCATCATCATCATCATCATCATCATCATCATCATCATCATCATCATCATCATCATCATCATCATCATCATCATCATCATCATCATCATCATCATCATCATCATCATCATCATCATCATCATCATCATCATCATCATCATCATCATCATCATCATCATCATCATCATCATCATCATCATCATCATCATCATCATCATCATCATCATCATCATCATCATCATCATCATCATCATCATCATCATCATCATCATCATCATCATCATCATCATCATCATCATCATCATCATCATCATCATCATCATCATCATCATCATCATCATCATCATCATCATCATCATCATCATCATCATCATCATCATCATCATCATCATCATCATCATCATCATCATCATCATCATCATCATCATCATCATCATCATCATCATCATCATCATCATCATCATCATCATCATCATCATCATCATCATCATCATCATCATCATCATCATCATCATCATCATCATCATCATCATCATCATCATCATCATCATCATCATCATCATCATCATCATCATCATCATCATCATCATCATCATCATCATCATCATCATCATCATCATCATCATCATCATCATCATCATCATCATCATCATCATCATCATCATCATCATCATCATCATCATCATCATCATCATCATCATCATCATCATCATCATCATCATCATCATCATCATCATCATCATCATCATCATCATCATCATCATCATCATCATCATCATCATCATCATCATCATCATCATCATCATCATCATCATCATCATCATCATCATCATCATCATCATCATCATCATCATCATCATCATCATCATCATCATCATCATCATCATCATCATCATCATCATCATCATCATCATCATCATCATCATCATCATCATCATCATCATCATCATCATCATCATCATCATCATCATCATCATCATCATCATCATCATCATCATCATCATCATCATCATCATCATCATCATCATCATCATCATCATCATCATCATCATCATCATCATCATCATCATCATCATCATCATCATCATCATCATCATCATCATCATCATCATCATCATCATCATCATCATCATCATCATCATCATCATCATCATCATCATCATCATCATCATCATCATCATCATCATCATCATCATCATCATCATCATCATCATCATCATCATCATCATCATCATCATCATCATCATCATCATCATCATCATCATCATCATCATCATCATCATCATCATCATCATCATCATCATCATCATCATCATCATCATCATCATCATCATCATCATCATCATCATCATCATCATCATCATCATCATCATCATCATCATCATCATCATCATCATCATCATCATCATCATCATCATCATCATCATCATCATCATCATCATCATCATCATCATCATCATCATCATCATCATCATCATCATCATCATCATCATCATCATCATCATCATCATCATCATCATCATCATCATCATCATCATCATCATCATCATCATCATCATCATCATCATCATCATCATCATCATCATCATCATCATCATCATCATCATCATCATCATCATCATCATCATCATCATCATCATCATCATCATCATCATCATCATCATCATCATCATCATCATCATCATCATCATCATCATCATCATCATCATCATCATCATCATCATCATCATCATCATCATCATCATCATCATCATCATCATCATCATCATCATCATCATCATCATCATCATCATCATCATCATCATCATCATCATCATCATCATCATCATCATCATCATCATCATCATCATCATCATCATCATCATCATCATCATCATCATCATCATCATCATCATCATCATCATCATCATCATCATCATCATCATCATCATCATCATCATCATCATCATCATCATCATCATCTTCATCATCATCATCATCATTAAGGTAAAAGCTATACAAGGGTTAGCTTGAAAATGAGTTTTAACATTATGTATCCCGTCATACATTTATCTTCAGTGTAGGTAGAATCATATTGTGCAAAAAT